TTAATCAAAATTATAGCCGTTATAGTCAACTTGTGGGCCACAACTATAAGAGGGAAAGTAAAAAATGGTGGCNCAACTTGTGGGCCCCACCTGTGAGGGGGAAAGTCAAAAATGGTTGCTAATTTAATAGTTAACGGCTAGAATTTTAATTAAAATCTTGATTAAAATTTCTCCCAAACAGGGGTCTTATTATATTAGATTTAGTTTCAAAATTCAACAAGTGTCATGATAGTCAAGTATTCAATAATCTTAAAAGGGAATTACACATTCAAATCCTCTCCCTATTGCATTAGTTTTGTTGAAAATTGTAGAACTAGAAAAATTATACAATAAATTGGTTTAAAAAGAATTCGAGAAAATAAAATGAATCACCAGATATATAACTTAAAACTTTTATCTACTATCAACAAAAAAAATTTGTTCCCGGTGGATCCAGCACGGGCGGCCGTCGGGACTCGTCGGGTGCTGGGTCCCCCCTTGTATGGATTTGTGTGATCTATTACCCCAAAAGGAAAGCTTAGTTTATATCTGGCGAGGTTGTGAGGAGAAGTTCGTACCATTTCAGTTACAAAGATATGTGAGTGTCGGGAATAAACACAACACAATGCAATTTTGCCATAGCATAATATCATACACCAATAGCAATGTCAAACACAGTTCTTTAAATAGGTTCATAAAATTCAGAATCAATGGAGTTCAAAATAATATTCAATTCCAGCAGAATGTAATCAAAATTTGCAAGCTTAAAGAAATCATGGACAGAATGCTTTCCCAAATTCAACATGCTCTAAATCATAAACAATGGTAATCAAACTTTGCCCATAGCATTTACAGATGTATCAAATCAACAGAATACTATACAAATCAAGAAATGACTGTAAATGTATATATACTGCATAAACCAAAACTGAAATCAAAACTTGAACACAGAACATAAACTAGACAGAAAAGAAGCATAAACAAAATGAAACTTCACTTCCCTTTTACCGTTCAGAAGGCAGCCTCCTTCTTCCTCCTTTAACGGGTTGTTCTTCCCTTCGATTCGGCCAAATTGATTAGGCTCAGGAACAACCTCTCCACTCCTTGCAATCGCCGTCCAGAGAGAGGTAAGAACCAACCAAGAAACACCCAACACTTAGCTTGGGTCATCGACCAAACGGTTTACCAAAACAGCCAAGAATCTCGCCCTATTCACTGATCTAAGCCTCACAAGAAACCTCCCTAACCTGGCTCTATTTCACGCCTAGGTAATACACCGGAGTCTCTCAACCATAGGATAACAGTGAATATTAAGGGAAGGAGAAGAAGCAGCCAGCTCCTTCGAGGAAAAAACCAGAGAAGA